GATTTACAAACTAGAAACTAAGAAAATGTACCTCTTGAGGAGGAATTTATAGAAATTTTTTCCCTTACAACTTCCTCCTGGTCCATATTTTTTCGTAGTCAGATTTATTTTTGCACCTACCATAATCTTATAAAATTTAGACAATTTAAACAAGATGAAATATATTTTCCAAGAGGATAAAGATAGGCCAGTCTTTCACATACAATAATTGGAATGTGGTTTCACTTGGAGGCAGAGAAAGACACTAGGCTACCTGAATTAGAGGTAGAGGGATATCTATGTTTACCAAAAAAAAAAAAAAAAAAGAGTTGTTACCTGGCTGAAACAACAAGGTCAAATTTTGCATCAAATAATCCTCTGCAGAAAGCATTGGCTGTATTCACAGAAAGGGAAAATCCAGATGACTTCTTAGGGAGCAGGATGTTATATCTCAGAGTTGACTTGGAGAAACATAGAATACGTTGTTGATTAACTAAATGATTAATTTTAAATTTATTACCTCCACATTAACATTTCAACTTAAAGTTAATTTTTACCTCTCTGCTTCTTTTTTTCTATACAATTATATACAATATACTAGTAACACTAATTCTATACAATATATTAGTAACACTAGTAACTTTAGCTAACATTTATTGAACATATACTCTGTACTTACTTTTCAATGCTTTTTTATATAATAATTCTTTTAATGTTTCCAACAATCCTTTGAGGTAGATGCTATTTTTAACCTCCATTTTATAGATGAGGGAAACGGGGGACAGAAAGATGAGTAACTTGTCCAAACTCATATAGCTACTGAGTAGCAGAGTTAGACTATATCTATGCTGTGTTTTGGATAATAATTAAAATGATCTGATTTCAGCCTTAAGCAACTGATAAAATTACTATAATGTCAGAACTTCAGGAATCAAGGTAAATACCATGAATACAATGAATAAATTACAAGAGAAATTGCAGAATCTAAATCCAAGATAAAACGACTTAGTAAGAGGCTTGGTTAAAGACTTAACTTGACCTAATAATCCCACTTCAAGAAATATTTCCAGAAGATATACCTGTCCAAGTACAAAGTCATATATACACATTAATAATTTCAAAGTCATATGTAATGGTCAAAGAGGGGAACTACTGCCAACTGTCCAGAAACATTTGACATATTGAGTATACTCTGGCATATTGGACTATACAGTATGGCAATGCCAGCTAATAAAGGTAGAAGGTGTGATAGAATTAGAAAATCACCACTTCGTAGTTCTTAATGAAATGGTTGATCAGGTAAAGATCATCAATGCATGTTAAGACTTTTAGGTAAACATTGATGATGAACTCAACATCTTTACGATCCCAGTGTAATATTTTGAATGTTAATTGTTGGTGCAAAGAAGAAAAAAGCAGCAACATTAGTGGGGAAGTATGGCTATCACCACCTTTAATCCAGTGATCAAACTTCACATCACTAATAATGATGTGCCTCTGGATGTGATACAATATAAATATAGATCCAACTTTTAGTTACAGAAGGCACAGAATGAGACAACAAATTAAATGACAGCAGAAGAAAACAATCTGGTAAATTCAGAATTAGGGAAATTCTACACCACAACTGGCCTGATCTCTTCAACAAATTAATGTCACAAAAAAATACAAAAAACTTGATAGATCTGTTAGGTTAAAAGAGACTTAAGAAGCATAACAAACAGCTGCAAAGTATGGTCTTTGATTGAATCCTGATTTGAAAAACAACCATAAAGTATATTTGGGGATAGAGGTTTGATAATTAAATTATATCACAATACAAACTATTGTTATTTATTTATTTATTTATTTATTTTTTGAAATGGAGTCTCACTCTGTTGCCCAGGTTGGAGTGCAGTGGCATGTTCTTGGCCCATTGCAACCTCTGTCTCCCAGGTTCAAGCAATTAATTCTCCTGCCTCAGCCTCCCGAGTAGCTGGGATTATGGGCACACACAACCACGCTCAGCTAAATTTTGTATTTTTAGTAGAGATGGGGGTTTCACCACGCTGTCCAGGCTGGTCTCAAACTCCTGACCTCAAGTGATCCACCCACCTTGGCCTCCCAAAGTGCTGGGATTACAGGTGTGAGCCACTGCACCTGGCCAAGCTATTGTTAATGTGTGGTTGCTCTGATAATGGCATTGCAGTTACATAATTGCATGTCCTTATTTATTTTTTGGAGATCCATATATAACATATTTAGGAGTGGCATGATAACTCTAATTTACTTTAGAATTCGGCAAAACAACGTGAAGCAAAAATGACCAAATGTGAACAAACTATTAAATCTAGTTATTCGTTCGTTATACTATTATCTCTAGTTTCACTTAGATTATAAGTTTTGATAAGTTGGGGGGTAAAAAAGCCCAAAATTACCTGCACATAAACACAGCCATTGCCATTCACTTCCACCATATACTTTCCCTTAGTTGTTGGCAATGGAATTTGTTGTAGCAACAAACGGTTCTTATCATTCACTTGGAAGGCTGTATTGAATCCTTGGTCAGAGAAAATTTGCACTGAATTTTGTCTATTCTTAGAGAAAGTGAGCCTCTGGAATAGTGTCAGGGCTTGGAGGGCCACAATGGTATCCTAAAAGAAGAATGGCAAATTGTATTAAAGCATACCATGGGATTTAGCAATCAGTCAAATACAGCTGTGATTTATTTAAAAATAATTTAAAATGCGATTACATCTTTTTCCATGCATTTTACTTTGTTTTGTGAACTATACTGTCTTGGGTGCTGTATAATTTAAACAGACAAATGCGGTTTGTGGCAACATTTCTGTTCAAATCTTTAACACAAACAAAACATTGTTTAATAGAACAAAAATGTAAGAAAATGCCAAGAAAATTTTTTTTAAATGCCTATCAAATCAGGTTTTGTTTTACCAAACATCAAAACATACAACAAGGCCAAAATATCAATGGAAAAAACAAAAAGACTAAAAAGATGACAAAATATATATGACTTTATATTTCAATAACAGTAGCATTTCAAATCATTGAGACAATTAATTATTACATAAATGACATCGAGACAACTGGCTGGCCATTTAAAGTTAGGTCTCTACTGTAACTCTATCAAAATACATCCTATAAAATTACATCCCATAAAATTATATCCTATAAAATCAAAATATATCCTATAAAATGAATCGTAATAGAAATACGATGAATTAATTCATATTACAGAAAAGTCTGATAATATATTTATATAATTTTTTGTGTTGAGTACTATTCTTAGTTTTAAAGTGAGAATCTTCAGTAGAATAATTATATTCAGTGAAAATGAAAAGAAAAGAATGTGTATTTTAAAGCATGATAAAAATTGGAAGAAAAACAGAAAGTTGACAAGGATGTTACACACATTAGTAAGGTTAATATCTTTACTATATTCAGAAGTCTTACACATAATCAAGGAAAAGATTAATATCCCTATTAGGAAATATACAAATGATATGACCAGGAAATTTATAATATATGAAATAAAAGAGAACTTTAAAAAAATGAAAGCATATTCTATCTAAGTAGAAACCAGGGAGATTTATTTTTATACAGAATGTATTACTAATTTTATTGTATCAGATCAAGAGAAATGATTTTGAAATTATATAATGAAAGGTACACACTGCTGATGATAATGCAAATTGAGAACACCTTTTCTGATAAAATCATAGCTAATTTTATATAGAACATTTAGTAGGTTAGTACTTAAGTTTTTATTTTAAAAATTAAAGTAAAGCATATTTGAATAAGTATTTAGAGATTATTACTAGATAAAATGCTACATCTGTAAAAAACCTGAAAGACAGCAAATTGAAAAATGATAGCAAGTTCAATAGTGACAACAATTACATTTAATTGCATAAATGTAATATATAAATTTAAAGGCCAATACCACCAACGCACAGCAAGTGCTCAATTTTCTTGTGCATAGAAATTTTACAAAGATATAGAGTTACCTTTGTGGAGAAGAAACCTCCACGGGAATTTTGCTGCTTTGCCACCCAATGTACAATCTGAGATGCATAGGACAGTTCTTCTGAAGTCAGCTGTGGCTTGAAAAGAAGAGCCAATAGCCCATAACAGGTCATCTCTATATCTGCGGAGGAAGCCTGAGGGTAGTAGAAAGATGACGATCCTTCCATAGAAAACCTCTCTTCCAGTTCCCAGTACACGGAGCCACCTGACCAAAAAGTGAAAGGAATTCAACAGTGTCTGTGTCAAAGCATGGCATATAACTGTGTGTGGTCAAATGGGTGGTATTTGAGGGAGTGCAAACCTTACAACTGGTAATAAAGAAACATGAGGGGATGATAATTATCCCACTGCCAATCATTCTACTTATCCAGCATGTTACTCCAGGAAGGGTCAAAAACACTCACCTACTCTTTTTGCTTTTTTGTTCAGCTCATTGAAGAAGAATTCCCTTTTGTCTTCATAGCCTACTAAACTGTAAGTGTAGGCTAGGAGGGCCTGCTCATAAGTAGTCATAGCTCTTTCCCTAGATACAGTCTCTAAGCACTGGAGACCCTTTTGAATAGCCATAAACTGCAAAGAATAAAAAAGAAAAAATCAAATGTGCACACAAAAACACATACAAAAACACAGATGTAGATATGATCATTGCTGGAAAAAAATTAGGAATGAATCTTGTTTGTGCTGAAACGTTCAAAGGGCAAATACTACATATTCATTTTAATTTCTACATAGTTCCATCTGCACAGTGTAATTTGACGATTCAGAAGAATATTGATTCAGTATTATTCAGCATATGTGGTAGCTACAAACATATAGTTCTACTTCCTATTACTATATTGTTGGCATAAAATGTTCTAAGTTCATAAGAAGCAAGTTAGTGGGATCACCAGTGGGCTACATACCGAGACCGGGTGGTCAGCTTCAAGCAGAGCACCGATAACATATGCAGTTAGAGAGATTTCATTATCTTCTTTTCCCTGAATGAAACATAGGGGTAACATGTCAGTCTCATGGAATTCAGAGGAAGGGTATTTCTAAATCTAATATATTTGAAAACTCAGTTTGTTTGTTTTCTTTTCCTATATTTTTGGGAGGTGAAGTTTTTCATGTCCTCAAAAGATACTGTTTATAAAAAGTAGGAAATAGAGAACAAACACCTGAACATTTTATATAAATAGGAACATCACTTGTCAAAATAACTTACGGGCCTCAGAAGGCATTTAGAATCAAAGGAGGGAGAGAATGTTCTGCAAAGTTCTAATTTAATTCTCACCCTCATATTTACCCTAGAAATAATATAAAAAGTATCATGAAAAGAATGCATGCTATGATATTACTATGATTAAAAGAGTATAGTATAAAATAGAAATATTTTATAGTAGTATAATCAGTAGATCAATCAATAGAGCAGAAAGAAATCATATCAAGTATAGAAAACAATGTAACAAAGTTAGCCTCAAAAATCAGTAGAAACAGAAAGCATTAATTAACAAGAGATGTCATGATAAGTGGTGAACTATTTGGAATGTAGAAGTAAATTACATATAAATTACACAACATATTGAATAAATTCTAGTAGGTCAATAATATTAGCTATAAAGAAAATCAAACTAGCTCCAAAAGATTAAAAGACAGTTACAAATAAGAAAAAATAAACTAAAAATAATCATATGAAAAATATTTGACTTTTGAACCAATTGACCTATAAACAAAAATAGACATTAAGCACCATCTTTTTTCTTTTATATTTTCAAAGATTTTTGTTTTCATACTTATATTACTCAGAGTCAGTAGTAGTGCTATGAGTTAGATACTCTATATGTAAAAAGAAACAAAATTGGCACAATTTTACTAAAAATCAATCTGGTAACGTTTTATCAGAACCTTAAAAAATTACGCTTTTAGATAGCTATCCTAATTCAATAATGAACTAGGGGCCTATTTACATATAAGAATGTTAACAAAACATTATTTTGAGTTTATTAAGCATTACTGAAACCTCAAGAAAGATTTTGGTTTATTCATATGATGATATATAGAGAGCTATTAATTTTATGTTTTTAAGTTATTCTAATGACATGGCAGAGTTATTATAAATAATGTTAGATTTCAAAAAGGGAAGACTAAAAATCCATGCAGGATAATCTCAATTATATTTATAAAGCATAAGTAAAAAGATTGAAGGAAAATATTGCCAAAACATTAATGGTGATTATTTCTGAATTGTTGACATATGAATAATATTTTGGTCAATATCTTATATGAAATCTCCGAGCTACTTTCAATAAATAAATACTACTATGATAATTATGAAGAAAACATAAGTTTTAAAACACTTAGAAATAAAGGCATATTCATTATGAACACTTATCTCAGGGATATTAGCAAGTAAGAGCAAAACAAATTGAATTCTAATAATAAAACAATATTGATAAAGAATTTCTTAAATGATAAAGCACTAAGCTATTAAGAATTATCCAGGTTCTGTTACTTGTTTGTTCACACTTTTACTAATAATCCTGCCCCTGTGCCCTGCCCCCAGTCACCACAATTACTGTTAGAATCTTCTAGAGTTTTTAACCTGACTGAAGGAAAGAAAATGTTCCATTTGCTATAAAGAAACGTTTTATTGGTTTTCAAGATAATTAGTTTATGCTAGTAGAAATTCCCGTTCAACAATTTTTACCAATTTCTTCAGTGTACTTTGGGATTCACTAAACAATTATAATGAAAGAATAGAAAACTGTAAGGTAGAATCTCATCAGTACCTTCAAAGCATTGTTGAAGACTTTGCCAAAATTTAGGAAGCAGCCATCTGGTTTCTGAATATTTAAGAGCCAAATAAGCGTTTGGGATTGAACTTTGTCATCGATATAAATGTAACGTTTAGCCTGTGCAAATGACTTGTAAACAAATGCAGTGAGCCTGGAAAAAAAAGATATACAGTGCATATTATAACAACCATTGAGAGGCAGGTGAATTCTCATTAAAATATGTGACTTGCTTCTGGCCAGGCATGGTGGCTGACGCTTGTAATCCTAGCACTTTGGGAGGCCGAGGCGGGTGGATCACAAGGTCAGGAGTTCGAGACCAGGTTGGCCAATATGGTGAAACCCCCTTTCCACTAAAAGTATGAAAATTAGCCGAGTGTGGTCGTGGGCACCTGTAGTTTCAGTTACTTGGGAGGCTGAGGCAGGAGAGTCACTTGAACCTGGGAGGCAGAGGTTGCAGTGAGCCAAAATCATACCACTGCATTCCAGCCTGGGCAACAGAGTGAGACTCCATCTCAAAAAAAAAAAGAAAAAGAAAGAAAAAAAGTGTAACTTGCTTCAATTATGTTTTTAGTTTCACATCCTGAAAATTTCTTTCTCAAATTCTAGCCGAACGTGTCCACCCACCCATCTCTTTGGCTTAAGGGATGATTTAAGTTATTCTAATGACATGACAAAGTTATTACAAATAATGTTAGGTTTCAAGAAAGGAAGACTAACCTCTCATACAGGATAATCTCAATTATGTTTATAAAGCATAGGAGAAAAAGACTGAAGGAAAATATTGCCAAAACATTAATGGAGATTATTTATGAGTTGCTCAGATAAGAATAATATTTTTATTAATTTGCATATTACTGATTTGCTTAATTTGCATATTACTGATTTGGTAATAATTTATATGTTGCTGGTTAATAACTTAATTCAAGTCTCCATCCATTTGACTTAAATCCTTTCTCTTCCTCCTTCTCTGAATTCATCATTCATGCCCTCAATGAAGAGTCACCTTCTCTATAACATCTTCCCAGATTCTTTTATCTCTACCCGAAGCAAAACTAGAATTCCTGCACTTGTCCCCTCTTAACATCTAAGAGCTTATTGGGAAATTATAGGATGTTGTAACTAGAAAAATATCTTAAGAGGACAAGATGAGGCATGTGTGCCTTATTATCATTTCATGATAACCTGAGGTCTACAGGGTTTAAATGGCTCATCCAAAACGAGCTGTAGTTTATCCTTAGTTAACTTCTCCCTTGTAGACTGGCATTCCTAACAGGTAAACACGGTCGGATTCATCCATGTGTGTAATATGCATTGCATTTAGTCCAAACACGTCATCACACAATTGCTGGAAAAGTTGCCATGCCTATATACTTCCATAGGATCATGTGCATATTTTTATTATAGCTTTTATCACGTTGTGTTTTAATTTTTTTTTTCTTACTTGCCTTTTCCCACTATACTCCACACTTCTCAGAGTCAAGGGTCGTGTACTATCAAGAGGCAAAATAATGTAGTGAGTGAAGGTTCACATTCTGGAACAGACATTCGAGTTCTGCCACAATATTGGCAATATGAACTTGCACAAATTATTTAACGTCTCGGTGGGTTGTGGGTAGAATTGTGTTGCCTCCTCATTCAAATTCAAATGTTGAAGCCCTACACCTCAGTATCGGAGAATTTGACTTGTTTTTAAAGATAGGGTCTTCAAAGAGGTAAGTTACAATGACGTCATTTGAGTAGACTCTAATCCAATATGACAATATGACTGGTGTCCTCACAAGAAGAGGAAATTTGGACACAGATATGCACTGAGATAAGACCATGAGAAGACAGGGAGAAGACAGCCATGTCCAAGCCCAGAAGACAGGCTCAAAAAAATGTCAACGTTATTAACACCTGAGTCATGGACTTCTGGCTTCTGGAATCATAAGAAGACAAATTTCTGTTGTTTACACCATCGTCTGTGGTGCTTTTTTATGGTACTTAGCAAACTAATATATTGTGTTTCTGTTTCTTTATATGTAAAATGGGTGTCATGATGCTATCTGCCTCACTGGGTAATTATGGAGATTTATTATCCTCAATTAGAAAAGAAACAATAATGATTATTATAGCGAGCATCTGTCTTTTTGTACCTCAAGGATGTATTACTGTTTCCAGGACATAGCAGCTAGGGGTGAATATGCATTTGTAAATAAAAGTTAATAATATAGGGAACAAATTTTAAAATTTAACTTGCATCTCATTAATGACCCTGTCTTTTAGGCTTACAGTAATAATGCAGTCTTTGCTTAAATTATTTGGTTTTAGTGCTTATTTCCCCATTTGTCGCAACCAGGATTCTGCTCCAATATAGGTTTTTAATGTCTCACTAAGAGGATTCATAGTTACACAGCACAATTTCTGAGCGGCACTATCAGTTATCATAAGCAATCTTGAGACTATCTTTAGGTTAGGTTGGGATATTATTGTTTCAGTGGAATAATTTGCTTCTATAATAAATGTAGTTTCATACCTTTTATCCTGCTCTATTGAGTTACTTTGTCTAGTAATTTGCTTATGTATCATGTATAATTGTTTTGCAAGTAAAATATAGAAATACCATAAGTCTTTAACCCAAGAGCCCAGGAATCCTATTAAAAGAACGTGTATGTGTGTGTGGAAGTTTGTATATTTATAGTTTGTGGGGGAAGATCCATAGTTTTTATAAAATTCTCAAAAATCACTTGAAAAAAATAAGTAGATTAGAAGTAATTAGAAACATCTAGTTAAACTGATGTAAATAACAAAACTTCAAACCATGTGTGTCCATGTTCATCTTTATGTCCAAAGGTACTATATGATCCATCGAAGTGTTTATAAGACAGCTGCCTCTGATAACCTGAAACAAGAAGAGATATTATTTTTCAAATTAAAATGGATGATCCAGAAGAAAAGTTGGATAAGTTGAATATTTGTGTTAGTTATAAATGGATGTATACATACAGACAAATACATTCACGTACTTAACAAGCAAAATAGCCGGGATTCAGGGATTTAACTGAGAGAAGCAAAATAAGGCTTCCAAATGCTTTACCTGTGGTCAGGTATCCAATAATCTTGGATTTGATCTCTTCGGTCAGTTGTTGAGTCTGACTCAGATAGTCCAAGATGTAAATATTGGGAGTGAATAGGGCCATATTCTGCTCTCCACAACCAAAAGGCAGGTGAAGAAGATTCTGTAAGTTTTGCATGGCAGAACCGAGAATGTCTCCTGAAAAATCAATCAAGTCAATATGAAGGACTTTGTAAAAATTGATAAGATGAAGAATATTAGTTTGTATTCAACATCTCTATGTCATAGATACCGGAAATAATTATTTTAACTATTATCTGGATCTTATTTTCTCTTCTATTTGTTGGACCCACACTATAGAATTAGCAAGACAACTTAGGGCCTTGTTTTCAGAACCATGGTGGAGATATGTTATCCAAAGCAGCACAGCCAAGAGCAGAAGAATCCAAGTTTGTGGGAATCAAAATTTCTGGAGAGCTCCCAGGGTGAAGTAGAAAACTCCACGTCAATCATCATTTCAAAAACAACAGGATTTGGGCCCAAAATAAACCTTTGTAAAATGCTTGCCATTTATCAGATGCTGTTCTGAACACTCTGCTCATGCTAATTCATTCAATGCTTATAATAATAACACAAATGGGTATTATTTTTTTCATTTATAATGAAATTGAGGCACAGAGAGGCTGAAAATTTTCCCAGCATCATCTGGAAAAGACACAGCGGAGTCAGGAATTCAGCACACAAAATAGTGCTTCAGAGTGCCTGGACTTGGACACTTCCCTACACACTTTCTACCAGTATCTAATAGTTGTGTAGCATTTACTACATGTCTCGAGATGTCTAAGCATCTTAACTCATTTAATTTTTATAACAATCCTATGAAATAAATAATACTATTATCTTTAGGTAAGGGATGAAGAAATGAGACACAGAGAGGTTCAGCAATTTTCCCAAAGTGACACAGCAAGTGGTAAAAATGGGATTCAAACCCAAGGCAGCCTTCTGGGAAAGTCAGTTCTTTTATCCACTGTGCTTTGCCACTGTAAAGAACTTCTACAGTCCGAAGACTGAAATCATATCAGGTATCTTTTTGAATCACAAGGGTATGAAACTAGAAATAAATAACAGGACAAAAATTCACAAATATGTAGAAATTGAACACATGCCTGAATACCCACTGGGTCAAGGAAGAAATCAAAAGGGAAATAAAAAAATACCTTGAGACAAAAGAAAACGGAAACACAACATACTAAATCTTATGGGATACAGCAGAAGCAGTTTGGAGAGGTAAATGTATATTCATAAACTGCTATATCATAAAAGAAGAAAGATCTCAAATAAATGATGTAATGTTACATTTTAAGGAATCAGAAAAAGAACAAACTAAGCCCAAAGGTAGCAAAAGAAAGGGAATAACAAAGATTAGAACAGGAATAAATGAAGCAGAGACTAGAAAAACAATCAATGAAACTAGTTTGTTGAAAACATAAATGAAATTGACAAACCATTACCTAAGATAAAAAGAGTGAAGACTCAAATAAACAGGACCATAAATGAAGGATGAGATATTAGAACTTATACCACAGGGATACAAGGATCATATAAAACTACTATGAAGCATTATATGCCAGTAAACTGATAATCTAGAAGTAAATACATTCATGCACACATATAACCTGCTAAGACCGAACCGTAAATAAACAGACAATCTGAGAAGACTAATAGTGAGTAAGGAGATTTAATCAATATCACAGGTCTCCCATCAAATTAAAGTCCCAGACTGGATGGCTTCCCTGATGAATTCTCCCAAATATTTAAAGAACTAACATCACTTCTTACCAGACTCTTCCAAGAAATCAAAGTGGAAGTAATACTTCCAAATTCATGTTCCAAGTCTAGTATTACCCTGATACCAAAGCCAGACAAGGACATTACAAGAAAAGAAAACTACAGACCAAGATCCCTGATGCATATAAACCCCCAAAATCCTCAACAAAATACTAACTAGCTAATTGAATTCAATGGCTCACTAAATAGATGGAAACTGAGCCATTTGTTATTAAGAGAGCCTAAAAATAAGAAGGGTTTAGAATGATGGTGCTGGATATAATGGTGTAGCGTCTGTGACTTGTATTTGTTGGATATCATTTTGGTAATGAGACTTATTTGCTCAAAGCCAAAAGCTCAAGTAAGTGCAGGTCTTCTTTGGTTTTGATACTGGAAGATGTTCTGGATATCAGCTGAGTGTTCTTCCCCTCCCTGTTAGTATTTTTCTGGTCTATACTTCTTCTACTGCAACAATGCAAGACACAACCATAATGCCACATAGAGTGCAGAATTCCTTCTATTGTACAGTATTCTTTAGATATTCCTCTTAAATCTTTAATCTGGGCTGTATATAGGTGATGACTAGAAGGTAGGGGCTAAACAGTCCAGAATTGTTTTCTGAAAAGATAGAAATAAATCATAGAGGTAACTATCTTTGAAATCTGGAATGAGCAAGAAAGCAATTTGCCCTTTTTAACATGGGAACAATGACAGGAATATATTCTATTTAATTTTGGCATACATTTTATGTTTCTATATCTAAACATATCTTACAGTTATTCTTATTACCCTTAAGCTTTTCCAGTTGTTGGCGCGTTACTGGGGTTCTAGGTTTATAGGGCCTGTAAGTTACGAGTAGGACGCTTTGCCCAGCTTTGGTCATTGTCCCACAGGGACCACTGCCTTTGTGTGGAATGCTGTTTGCTCCTACCTGAGTGTTGTAATTTCAGGGCAAAAGAAGTGAAATATCGATGTTAACCAGTTCAGCACACTGTACTCTAAAAATCACTGGTTTGTGAGAAAACATAAAGTTTTTCCTTACTGAGGTAGCCTTAAATGAGACATGAGCCAGAAATGCTAATGACGGGAGTAAATTTTTATATGTCAGATGAAATGGCCTTTAAGAAAGGAAAGTGAGTGTGTCATATATAACAACTTAGTCATATATACCAACCTCAATTATAAAATTCTTAGGCTAGAAATGCAGTCTAAAACAGATGACAAAATAGAACCATGGCAGAAATAGGTATAATTTTTCTCTTCTTTCCAAGCCTATGTATTATAGTGCTTTGCAGACTTACCAAGGACAGACCAATAAGCTCTAGGTGAATCTTTTACAAGATTATCTGGTAAAGTTAGCACTACTGGTTGAGATACTGTGGATCCTAGGAAACAGTAAAGTGAAATTATTAATTCAGATCTCTCATTTATTTTAAAAACCATGATTTTGACTTTGAATATAAGTTATCTTCTTGATTGTTAAATCACTTAATGTCTACTTATTGACTATTCTCAACTCTGAAATAATCAGAAAAAAGGTCAAAGAGATTCCTGTAATTATAACTAATCATATTCACATAAACTCTTCACAATCAGTTACAATTTAACATATAATGAAACCTTAACTTTGGTGAGTATATTCCAATTTACTTTTGCACCTATGATTTAATTGGATTTTCACAAAACAACTTATAGGATGAATAGACTAGATGTTTTTCCTGCCTTGGTATAGAAGAGTATGCTTAGGCCAAAAGAAAATAAATTTGGAACATCTCCTAATTGTAAGTGATAAAACACTGAATCTGAACCCACGCTTTCTGAATTGGGTTGAACATAATTTTCATACTGGTATTAAAATACTCCACTACCTGTGTATGCTCCTTAAGGTGACAAAATATTGGAATATAAAATGAGATCTCTCTGGCTACTATTAACTCCAGGGGCCTCTAATATTTCTAACATTCAAACAAACAAATAAATGGTGGCAAAAGCAAAATAAATTAGATAATAGAAAGAAATCCAGTTGCAGTCTGGTACTATTTATAGGGCAATTAATTGTTGCAGTGTTGGAAACAAATATTTTTAAGCAATAGATGTGAGACAAAGCCCAGATAGGTAATGGACTTCAGAAGATGTGGTGATCAGAAAAAAAGACTTGTCAGAATTTGGTTCAGAGGTGGGAGGATAAAATAAATGACATACATTAGGTAGAAGAAATTCTTCTCTGGTTGAGTGCTTTGGGCAGAACTTTTAGAGTCATAGTTACTATTTTTAATGACAAAATTAAGGCTTAGATGGGTAGAAATTAAATGGTAGAGATAAGGGTTAAAGTCACGGATACTTGAATTTCTGAACTAGGGAACAGTCAACAAGGAAGAACTAAAAGTTTAAAATTTACTTTGGCTCATGAAATTATTAAGTTTTATTACTTGAACGTAATTTAATCTTTCCCAGCCGCCATGTTCTGAGAAGATAAATAATAAAACGCTTCATTCTAAAACAAAGACAAACAAAAGTTTCATTCAATAGTGCCATGTCAGCAAAAACATGTAAAGATATCTACTTGCCATTTGTACAAATAAGTGAGCCCTGTGTCATCTCCTTTTCAATACCTTCAGGCTAATTGTTGGAAGAAAAAAAGAAAGTAGTCATGATTAATTTCATAATCAATAATATTCTGAATATTCAGTTTATTCATAAATTAATAATAATGCCTAAATAGAACAAATCACCTTCAAAATTTATTCCAGATAGTGCATCTATGAATTATTAAGCCCAAGATAATGCAGAGATGACCCATTTGATTTTGCATGCTATACAATAAGCTGTGTTACCAAAATGAAAATCAAGGATTTTCATAAAGATCCTTCAAGCTCCAAAATTCTTTCCCTCTATTGCAAGACTATTATACAGTTGACTTTAAATATTCTTTGCATAAGTGGATGAAATGTGTATCTCTGGCCTTCTTTTCCAAATATTTGATTGAAATACTGTGTTTTATCTTTGGATAAGTGGTTCACTCCTCTTTCCATGGGTTCTGAAAGCTATACTTTATGCTTCTTAATGGAGATAAATCTTTGAAATACACACAGATTGTTTTCCTCAAGGCCCAAAAGTTTTACTTTGAAGTCGTACCTCTACCAGCAAGGGTTTGATCAGTGTATCCCTCCAGCCAATGTCTGGAGCTGTAGATGACCCATTCCTGCAGCCACTATTTTGCAGGGTTTCAGCAGTGACAGTGAGGTTGACTGTACCTTAAGTGGCATAAAATGTAAATGGCAGTTATTTGAATGAAGATATAAGGAGGTAGAAATCATTTTGAACTCTATGTTGAGGTAAATTGTTAAAATAATTGAAATTTGACAGGGGAGAGAATAAAATATGACATGGAAAATAAACACTCTTGAAGTCAAGACTTGATTCCAACTCCCCACCCCTGTCCTCAGGCATACTGGTCTTGGGTTGTGAAAGAGAATACCATCATAAGGAATGGAAGAATGGATAAGCGGTGCTGGTAAGTAATGGGTAAATTGCCTATCATAGACAAAGAGTCTAACATGAGCGCTTAGGGGAATTTACAAAGGGATGTGAAAACATATAATAACTGTAAATCTTACCCAGTGTTTGGGGGGTAACCAGCCAAGTAAAGGATTTTTTCTCATTGCCACATATACAAATATTTTCATGTTCAGTTGAGAGAAGTCTGGCTTGGTAAACACTAGATGCTTTCAGTACAGTATTAACCTGTGAGGGCCCGATAAGGAGAGAGAGAGAAAAAGTATTTAATCTTTTCCATACATAAACATAGCATAGTCATACAAGTCTGAGAAGTTAGAAAGGAAGTTCCCCACCTTTCATATTTTCTGCTGTGGAAAGAATGGTTTCCAAACCATGAGACCTTCAAAGTCTTACAACAGAGTTATAATTTGACCTTTGGCACTTAGTGACTAATTACTCTGAAAAACCAGTATTTAGGTCTTATATAATAATGCATTACTTCATAGAACTGCAGCGGAATAAGCAGATGTTTTGGCCAATTTGGGTTGACCAAGTTATCATAAGCTCTTGGGAGCCTGTTTTCTTTTTCTTTTCTGTAAATTGAGGACATTGTCATCTATAGTTCACAGCCATGTGTGCTATGGCAAATAGCAGATACAAAGCATCTAGAAGACTGTATCGCAACTCAGGCTCACGAATAAAAACTTTACTAACAAGGAAGCAAAAACAAACTTTCCTGAAAATGAAAAAAATGTACTTTTATTTTTTCCTAAAAAATAGCTTCCTAATAAACTGAGTAGTTCGACTTGCTTGATTTTTTTTTTTTAAGTAAACAGTATCACTTAAAGTAAAATCTGTTGATTAGGTTTTTTACCTGGCACTTTGGACATGTCATTTTGTCACTACTCTCTACTGATGTTCACCAAATAATTGGATGTCAATAAAAGGTTGGGTTTGAGGATCATACCATATTGCAAACCATTGAAAGAGATGAGGTAATGCAAAAAACAAAGGCCACATTATTATTATAGATCTAGTTGAAGTTTGTTATTTTGGTAAAAGTTAAAGAGATGGGAAACAAATGTGAATGCCTATTATTTGCAGCCTATTGTGTAAGGCTTGTGGTTTACATTATCTCATTCAATTCTCTTAAGGACCCAGCCAAGTATGTATTACTAAAAGCATTTTACACCAGATACACTGAGGCTGATGGAGATCAGTACCTTGTTCAAAGCAACAGAACTAGACAGTGTAAAAACCAAGATATAAACCCACATAGAAATGGTGTGTGTGTTTTTTCTATTGTGAAATTGCTGGGGTTTTTTTCCATAGCTATTGGTCAGCTCTCAAGAGCCTATGAAACTCCTAAGCTGTCGTGTATTTTGCATATCCTCATGTATCCCAAAGGTAAACAAATTTAAAATCTAATTTGAGAACATTCAGCGTAATTATTCACAAGGCTTCAAAAGGGTCTTATACATAAAATTATTGAATACGTTGAAGAATCAAAAGTTCTAGGGATCTCTTCAATCATTTCCACCCACCCTCCCCTCACATACAATAATAAAAAGTAGCTTACACCATAGAGCTTAAGTTCTTTTATGTTCAGCCAGTCACCTAGATATAATAATTTATACATCTGGCCAGGCGCAGTGGCTCAAGCCTGTAATGTCGGCACTTTGGGAGGCCGACACGGGCAGATCACGAGGTCAGGAGATCGAGACCATCCTGGCGAACACGGTGAAACCCCGTCTCTACTAAAAAAATACAAAAAACTAGCCGGGCGAGGTGGCGGGCACCTGTAATCCCAGCTACTCGGGAGGCTGAGGCAGGAGAATGGCGTAAACCCGGGAGGCGGAGCTTGCAGTGAGCTGAGATCCGGCCACTGCACTCCAGCCTGGGTGACAGAGCGAGACTCCGTCCCCCGCCAAAAAAATAATTTATACATCTAAGTCACACATTGAGTGGTTGGTAGAGCTTGTTAATGTTTTTTAAAAACTTAGGAAGGAAAGACAAGTTCTTACCAAGTTCTGATCATCAGGCAACTGATATTTGAAGATAATTTACATAGGGAAGAACTTGCTATTTTACTAAGAAGAGCTGGTACCTGAATACAGCTCTTCAGATAGTTGAAGACATTGGCCTTCAGAGTGAATGCTTCTCCTCGAACCACCGAATAGGGCAGAGTGAGATCCACAAAGAAGGGCTGAAAAGCTGTCATGGAGACAGTTGGGGAGAGGCCAAATCCAGCTTTGTCATTCATGCAGAATCCACTGGCCTTCCATTGTGTAATTGTATCCGGAACAGTAAGCCTAAGGTTGGCTGCACCTGAGGAGCTAATAAAAGAGATAGCATACAGATTCAGAGAGAAGCTGTCACCATGTAACACATGTATAATTGGATCATTCCACTTCCTTGGAGCTCTACATTTCCTCCTTTGATGATTCAATGGTCTGCTAAACTACAGTAGGCAAATTCTCTTTTTTTTTTTAATCCCATTCTTCCTCTGTTTTGCTCCATATCATACCTTATCTGTAAAGAAGCCTAACATTAAGCTTTTGTGTCCAGTGCATTAGCTTTCCTTACCTTTGAGTCATCTTTGACTCTACTGTTTCTTAATTGTGAGATCTCATCTTTTAATTCTATTTTAAATTTTATGATACTATGTATTTTCTTATAAACCCTGAACAATTATGAACCATTAAAATACTCGACATGGGCATTAATCTTTTACTTTCTTATAAAACACAGAGAAAGATACTTTAATCTCTGTGCATTTCTGTCTTTCGTTATCAGTAGACACTATGAGTGGTCTTTAACACCAAAATATTTGGAAATGTTTGAGTGAGTAGGAGACATGAATTAATGACTCATTTAATTTAGTCAGAATATCTAAATTGGCAATTTGTTTAACTTTAGTTTACTTATAAGTCGTTGCTATCACATTCATCCAACTTTACTGATAAGTATAAAACATGAGCCATATAATACAGTTTTTAAGTTTAAAGTGTGCACATTAGCCTTATACTTGAAATTTTTATGGCACCTACTTAGAAATTTTTTCCAACTTCCTTTCCTCCTCTTCTTCCTCCCCTTTATTATTTCCTTTTTTCTTCCTCTTTTACATTTTCTTTTCTCCTCTTTCTCCTTTCTCCCTTACCTCCATATGTATTTGTTGAGTATTATGTTCATCATGTAATACAACAAAAATTTCAGTGTGCTTTATAGTCTCCCGTACAACTTTCCTTCCAACAACATCCAAGTTCTTATTAAAAAAAGTGATAAAACATAAGAGTAAGAAACATAATAAATAGAGTAAGAGTAAGAAACATAAAACATAGAGTAAGAAAAAGAAATAAGGAAAAAATAAAAGGAGAAAGTGAAAGGAAGAAAAAAGAGAAGTTAGAATCCTATCATAGGCTCTGCAGAATTTTTGACACACTCTTAGTTTTCAGTCTTGGGGACATATTTATTTCCATAAGGCTGGCAAATATGAATGTTGTCTTTCATTCAGATAAAAAGAAAAATTAAATGAAGAAAAATGCAATTAAAAATACTCACTCAGTTGTAATAAGATTCCAAACCCAAGTTTCAGGAAATGATTCTCTCAGAGTTTCACTATGAAATTTACTCTTGAGGTCTGAACCTGCATAAGCCTCTGAATGAATATAAAGAAATATCTATAAGAATGTTATCACCACAAAAAAAGATAAGTATTTGAACTAATGGCAATGCTAACTAATGATGTGATCACTTCACAGTACTTAAATGTATTGAAACATCACAGTATACCTCATAAATATATACAGTTATCTATCAATTAAAACTAAAATAAAACTTTAAAATAAAAATAAAAAAGTAGGGGGGCTGGGCGCAGTGGCTCAAGCCTGTAATCCCAGGACTTTGGGAGGCCGAGATGGGCGGATCACGAGGTCAGGAGATTGAGACCATCCTGGCTAACACGGTGAAACCCCGTCTCTACTAAAAAATACAAAAAACTAGCCAGGCAAGGTGGCAGGCGCCTGTAGTGCCAGCTATTCGGGAGGCTGAGGCAGGAGAATGGCATGAACCCGGGAGCAGAGCTTGCAGTGAGCCGAGATTGCACCTCTGCACTCCAGCCTGGGCAACAGAGCAAGACTCTTCACAGTACTTAAATGTATTGAAACATCACAGTATACCTCATAAATATATACAGTTATCTATCAATTAAAACTAAAATAAAACTTTAAAATAAAAATAAAAAAGTAGGGGGGCTGGGCGCAGTGGCTCAAGCCTGTAATCCCAGGACTTTGGGAGGCCGAGACGGGCGGATCACGAGGTCAGGAGATTGAGACCATCCTGGCTAACACGGTGAAACCCCGTCTCTACTAAAAAAATACAAAAAATTAGCCGGGCGTGGTGGCGGGTGCCTGTAGTCCCAGCTACTGGGGAGGCTGAGGCAGGAGAATGGCATGAACCCGGGAGCAGAGCTTGCAGTGAGCCGAGATTGCACCACTGCACTCCAGCCTGGGCAACAGAGCAAGACTCTGTCTTGAAAGTACTAAAACTTTAAAATAAAAATAAAAAAGTAGGGGGGCTGGGCGCAGTGGCTCAAGCCTGTAATCCCAGGACTTTGGGAGGCCGAGACGGGCGGATCACGAGGTCAGGAGATTGAGACCATCCTGGCTAACACGGTGAAACCCCGTCTCTACTAAAAAATACAAAAAACTAGCCAGGCAAGGTGGCAGGCGCCTGTAGTGCCAGCTATTTGGGAGGCTGAGGCAGGAGAATGGCATGAACCCGGGAGCAGAGCTTGCAGTGAGCCGAGATTGCACCACTGCACTCCAGCCTGGGCAACAGAGCAAGACTCTGTCTTAAAAAAATAAATAAATAAATAAGTAAAATAAAATAAAATAAACTTTCTCTTTGACCTCTACCACTAATTCCCACTTCATCTGACTATCTTAATAACACGATGTTCATTTTAAATTATTTTTCTTATTATTCAGTTTCCTGTTTAGCCTCCTATGTAAATTCCTTGGGTTACTGTTTGTGTACCATCTTTCATAGTCTTTCGAAGTATAAATATTGCTTAGAGGTCTATGAGACTTCAATGTGAAAACTTACTCAATAGGAGGTTGCACAGGTAAACTTCAAATTGCAACAGCTTTATGACTCTTTATTTCCAGTTTTGGCTGTGGGCCTGCAGCCATTCCACAATTCCAGCCCCCATGCATGTGTAGAGGTATAATGGTATATTTCTGGTCACAATCACAATTGGGCTGCGTAGTTTCAGCACTTAATATTGGCCTATTGGATTTGTTCAGGACTACTGCAAATCAGTGCTAGCTAAAGCTATTAGTTGTTTGCTGGTTTTAGGAATAACCTTGTATACAGACTATGATCTGTGTTGATTTATTTTTCCTAATTTTCACCTATCTTTATATTTATCAATAAACAAATGTCTAATACACATTATATATTACTTATTTAAAATATATTATATAAAATATTTTATATAAAATATATAACATATAGCAGAAACAATATATATAATACATAATATATAAAAATTTAATATATTATATATACAAATATATAATACATACAATATACAAATATTTAAATATTATTTGCTGCCCTTTTCCTGAAGCATCCCTTCCCTCCATTTTCTAGCACTCTAATGTATTTTGTATATATCCTGGATCTGTACAAATTTTTCATCAATATGTAATTTTGCTTAGTATGTTTATTTTAAACTCATGTAAATAATTTTATAATTTAGATATTACTATGTTTCTTACTTTTCCCACTTCAAACTTCATTCTTAAAATTTACTTATGTTATTTCTTAGTGCTTCCCAATATTCCATAGCCTGTATTTACCACATATTACTTAATCCATCCCTTTAGTTATGGTCACCTAGGTTGTCTCCATTCCATGCTAGTACAACCAACAATGCACCAAATATTACATAGTGTGCATCTCCTCGTAGGGACTCGAGTTGCAGGCCTTGGTGTTTATGCCAAGAAGTTTAACTGCCATTTTTGAATGTTTATGCCAAGAAGTTTAATTGCTGTGTTTGAAGGTGCATGCCTGTTAATTTGAGTACTACGAGACCCCACACGATGTCTGTACCACTTTATAATCCCACCAATAGTACATACAGCGCTCGCATTTGTCTTGTTTGAATAACAATTACCATTTAAATTTTCTTTCTTTTCACCATTGGCAGATGTGTTAACTGGCTTCTTGATGTTCATTTAATTTTTTTTTCTGATTATTAGTGAAGTTAAATATTTCTCCATATCATTCTTATCTATTTGGTTCCCCTTTTTTGTATCATGTCTTTATTTTTTTGCCTATTTTTAAATATTACTGGACTTTTCTGCACAGTCTTTGATCAGGTTTCTGATTGAAGGTCACTTCTTCATAGAGGTTTTCTCTGACTATCTTATTTAAAATAGCATCCTGATGTTCTGCTCTTTTCCTTTAACTTGTTTTGTTTTCCATACAGTAGTTCTTTGAGAGATAGTAACTCACAATAGAGAAACATGGACTTTGGGATCAGAACGTTTGGATTATAATCCCATCTCTGTTATTTAGCATCTGTTACACTGAACAATTTCTTTAACCCGCCTAAGCTTCATTTTTCTCATTGATAAATTGTAGATAATAGCTTCTAATCTATAGACTGTGATGAATACATGGATTGACATTTGTAAAATGCCTAGATGTAGCAACAATTCAGGAAAGATTAACTATCAGAGCACTTATTACCATCTGAAATTATGCCATTGATACAGTTTGAATATTTGTCCCCTCAAATCTCATGTTGAAATGGTATCCCCAACGTCGGAGGTGGGGCCTGACAGGAAGTGTTTGGGTCATGGAGGCAGATCCTGCATTGCTTGGTGCTGTTCTTGCAATGGTGAGTGGCTTCTTGTGAGATCTGATTGTTGAAAAGGGTGTGGCACCTCTCCTCTTCTTGCCCCCATACTGGCCACAGGAGACATTTGCTCCCCCTTGTCTTTCACCGTGACTGTACATTTTCTGAGGCCTGCCCAGAAACCGAGCAGATACCAGCACCATGTTCCTTGTACAGCCTGCAAAGCCATGAGCCAATTAAACCTATTTTCTTTATTTCTTTCTTTTTTTTTGAAATGGAGTTTTGCTTTTGTTACCCAAGCTGGAGTGCAATGGCACAATCTCAGCTCACTGCAACCTCTGCCTCCTGGGTTCAAGCGATTCTCCTGCCTCAGCCTCCCAAGTAGCTGGGATTACAGGCGCACACCACCACTCCTGACTAATTTTTTGTATCTTTAGTAGAAATGGGGTTTCACCATGTTAGCCAGGGTGGTCTCAAACTCCGGACCGCAGGTGATCTGCCTGCCTCAGCCTCCCAAAGTGCTGGGATTACAGGCGTGAGCCACTGCATCTGGCCCCTATTTTCTTTATAAATTATCCAGCCTCAAGAATTTCTTTATAGCAACACAAGAAATATACAAATGACAATATGTAGTCATTTGTACATTGTCTGCATCCCAAATTCAATGTAAATTTCATGAGTATAAAGATTTACTTGCATTATTCTCACTGTATTTCTAACTTCCGATATGATAGACACATTAAATGAATTAAAAGACAAAGCAAAAGAAAATAATCACCTCCCCTCTTTTCCCAATTAGTTTAAAAGCATTAAGAGATTATAACCTGCCACCTGTCCTTCACATTATACTGTGACTTACCTAAGGATACGTAATCAGTATAGTCAAGATGGTTAGAGTCCTTGCACAATACTGGTTTCCGGAGGTGAGAGTTGGTAAAAATCTTTAATCCCATTGCCTTTTAAGATAAAATCAATTTTAGGTCACATCACAGCCTAGACTAGCAGTTTGAACTGGTTTTTTGTTCTACGTATATTTTCAATTTCCACTTATTTATTTCTCCATCTCTAATTGTCATATATTTAGAGATACTTCGCTGACATTTCCTAAATTTCATGTCTTTGAGTTCCTTAGTTTCTCTAATTCTAATGGCTTTTGCTCTGTTTTCCTAATCAAGAGTTGTTGATGAAAACCTTTAAATAAGAGAAGACAAAAAAAGACATCTCATATCTTACCCCACTATACTTTCACTGCTTTGAATTTGGCATTTTTATTGAACTAGGGACAGGATGTCACTTATATACACTTTAATTATAGTAGAATACTTTGAAATAGTAGAAATTGAATTTGTGGGTATATGTAGGGGCAAAATGGGGATTTATATTAGACACCAGTATATAATGTGCATAACATTATGTCAGGAAAGCTGATAATTCCCTCACATATTAGTTCTTTTTCTAATATTCTAATATTATTATTTATTTAAAATATTATAGTTTTATAGTGAAGTTACAATAAGCTTATTATAACTTTACCTTATTATAACATATTATAACCTTATAACTTTATAATAATTTTTAAATAAAATTATATTAATACAACTTTAAAAAATATATTGACTTCATAATAATTTATTATAACTATATAAAATAACCATTATAACTTTATAATATAACTATTATATAATTATAACTATAATATAATAATAACTTTATCAGGTCTTTTTGCTATTATAACATTCTTTGAGATATTGTTTCTCAGACATTAGTACTAATTGTAAATTTGTACTCTCTAAGAATTCTGAGATTAAAAACCCACGCCATGAATATTTCTATTTATTTACATATTGTCACGTATATTCACCGTTTTAAGACATAGTTGTCTTACCTTCACAAGGTCATAGGCATCTTTTCCAAAGTCAGCCCATGCAGGTGTATAATAAATTCCATTGTAAAGGATATGTTCATCTTTAAGACATGGCACTTTAAGGCCATCTTCTAAGTTAAGTCCTCTGAAATAATAGCCATGTAGTTCCCTGGAATATAGCTGACTATACACCTAGATGGTAGAAGAAAATAAACTGTATTTTTTTATAGAAAACAATTCATTTTTCCCCACAAGCAGTATATAAATAACCTATATAATCCTATGAATATCCTATGTATATATCATCAGACCTATACCAAATACACACATATTGAGAAAATATAGGATCTTAGATCTGTCAAAACTTTGAAATACTATTTAATCAGTTAAATAATTGCTGGCTAAATCACATTAAAACTAACAAAAAGTACACGGATTTTAATACATTCCAGCTAAAGGCACCACTCAATACTCTTTGAGGCCTCATTCAAGGACATCGCTCAATACTCTTTGAGGACTCATTCAAGGACATTGTTAGAGAACATTCTTGGTTAATTTACTAAATCTCCCCGAGCCTAAGATTAGACATGAATCAAAATGGGAATACTGCATTAGTTCCATAGGGTTGATTAATATGAGAATAAAATTAAATAACAGATTATGGGAATACTCAGTAGAGCAAGTGTCAAATAGTAGACATTTAGCAACTGTTATTTATTTTGTAAAGTGCTGCTCACTTTTTCCGTAAGAGAATTAGTATAATTGGAGTAGAATCATTTTACATGATTTCTAACCTCAAATATTTTTTATTCCTGGAACTCTGGGCAATTTCCTTCTCCTCTAGTTTATTTAAGGTAACCTGTTTTTATCCAAAGGTAAATACATGAAACTATACCGTTGGTGGTGAACAAAGGTGGTTTTAATTACTCACACTTTGTGCTGACAGCTGACCATAACTCCTTAGCAGCAGTACACTCTGGTCTACAGCCCAAAGAGCACAAAGAGAGTTTGAAGCAGCCGAGACTTGAAGATTGACATTGGATCCTGGTAAACTTTTTTCTTTAGAAAAATTTAAGTTGACCTGAAAACGAAAATAAACAAAAGGGCAAAAGGAAGGCAAGCCATATGAGAAGAATCATCTTTTAGACTATTCTTCACTTTTTTAAAAACACACATAAGTTCAAAGGGCTTTCTGTGCTCTACCCACCTAATAATATCCATAATTTAGAAAAACAGGAACAACATCCACAGTGAATGTTATAATCCTGCTACTCTTCAATCATCCAACATATTAACTTCTCCATAACTTTCTTTTATTTTTCATTTTGCAAGTCTATGAAAAATTGGGAGTTTAAACCCAACACTCTCTTAAGTTCTCCTTGCTTTTCCCCAAAATTAAAAAAGAATAATTTTCGTCACCCACCTGATGTTTGAAGCATTTCTCAATTTGGAACTGGGTGCTGTCAGTGACCATTTCTCCTCCAGGATGCAAGCTATAGACAAGCATATCTACTGAGGGTGCTAACTCAGGGCTAACGTCTATAGAAATGGAAAATATGCCCTTCCTCCCTGTGAAAAGAAAATTTTAAACCGAAAAAGTGCTTTGGTGAGATAGTTAACTGTCATCTTGCAGAAATCCTCCACTGAATTTCTAGCCATCCTACCCACTGCCAAAGAGACTGCCCTGACCCACCAAATTTAATTTATAAAGCATTTCTAGGTGGGGTTCATAGCCTATTCCATAAATTATAAAAGAAAGAAATAGTTGAACATTTCTTATTACCTTTCAAACTTCAATCTACTTTTGTTTCTTTTAAAAAAATCCCTTCTTGTTTGAATGTAAAAATACTTACCTGCCTTTCTTGAAAGAGAAAGGGAAGGACCAATGATCCTTTTGCATTATAGCAGTGTTTGGAATATAATTAACTATATATTAATAGCTAATTAATATAATTATATATTATATAAATACATATATTAATATGTATAATTAACTATATATTAATAGCTAATTAATATAATTATATATTATATAAATACATATGTATAAATATTTATATAATTATATAAATATATAATATATAATTAATATAATTATATATAATTAATATAATTAACTATTAATTAAGTAATTATTTTTCTTTTGGCATTGTGCCTATTTACATGTCCTTATATGGTCCCCAAGGGTAGTTTGGGGGGCAGTAAATAAACAGTCCTAAAATGCGAGGACTGTGACTTTTAAAGAAAAATGTAAAATATATCCCAGTTAAAGCATTTTATTTGTATTAAATTATATGCTAAAATTAGAGGCCTCACCATTTTCATTGATCTCAATTTTCTGTTGCCCATGAAGAACGATTACACCTTTTGAAATCACCTAGGAAAATGAAAATATAATGATAAAGTTTAGAGAACAGAAACGAAATTTCATTTAATTATAAACGAATGTGATTTACCTCCTTTTCTTGTCTGAGCAATACTATTGACATGTTTGCTAGTAAACTCAGGTTACCAGTAAACAAGCATATGACTCTAGTAGCCATATTCAAGAGAATTTAGGAGTCACAGATAAACTTGCTATAAAGCAATTTAATGTTCCACATTCCAAAACCGTTTTCGAAGACCAATAAAACAACTTTTTATTCATATTTGTAAATGCTGAATTACATCTAAATTTATTTACTTTAGTGAAACAAAGTTATACGAAGCATTAAAAGTCTCCCAGTGCTTTGTTTGGTTTTCTGAAAGGTGTGTTTGATATGCAAGGTATAAGCGAGGCCTGTTCATCCATCTCCACCCAAAATTTAAAGCAAAGAAAATAAAGTAGCAAGCTGGGGGTGCTCCAGAAAAACGCTTCTCTCACTTCACCTTTATCAGCAACTGTGTGCAAATTTGCATCAGCAGACTTTTATTATGATCTCTAAAGTGCAAAGGCTGGAGACTTGAAATCTAGTACAAATTCTTTGAATTTTTAAATTACAATTTTAGAATATTATTTTAAAAGAGGCTGAGACTTGCAGATAATTTAAAGCTTCCATAAGATCTTGCAGCTTGAAATTGCTGGAGTTGGTACTCCTAGTCCGTTTACTATTTCACTGAATATTAAAATTGCTTTAAATCTCTGAAGTGCCAAGTTCGGGTGATTAGTTCATAAAAAAAGAACTGAGCCTCAACTAGCTGGAAGATATTGTTTTGGGAACTAGAACATTTGCAAAAAGGCATAAAGCTGAAAGTTTAATGAGCCTGGGAGGTCTTAGCACTGTTGGCTATATTAACTCATTGACTTCTCAAAACAGAAAGACAGCTGTTGTAACAGATGAGTAAACTGAAGGGGCACACAGAGGCATTGATATTTGTCAGGCCATACAATTAAGAAAAAAGCTTAAAAGCCTGAGTATCAAATTAATTATTGAAAGCCTGACAATCAAATTAATTCAGCCTCTATCCATTCATTCTAAAATATTATATTGAGGGTTTTCTCTGTGATGTACACCCTGCTAGGCAGAATTAAAGTCCACCCAGCCTATTGTGAAAGAATATGTAGGAGAAGACTTGAATCATCTAGGAGATTAGACAGTTTCATTTAAGCCAGGAGATGCATGCTGAGGAGGAATCAGCTCGGAAAATGAGGTGCAGGCAGGTTGGGAGCTGTGGTAGCAAATGGGAACAAAGATTGTTATGGGCAGAAGGAAAAACCTGTGGGAGGCTTCTGAGCCAGAAAAGCACATGGCTTGTCCAAGAAAATGAAAGCACTCTGTGTCTGCAATGAAGAAGGCCGAAGTGTAGAAAGATGCAAAATGAAGCTGGTGAGCTTCACAGGTGCAGACCAGATACAGTCTTGCAGGCAAAAGAAAGGAGTCTGGTATTTGTTTTAATAGAAATAGGAAGTCATTAACTGTATTCGATTAGGAGAGTGAAATAATCCTAATTGCTTTTGGAAAAAAACTACTCTAGATTTCCAGACGGAGGGAGGAAGGTACGAGGGAGCGAGGAAGAAAAAGGCTGTTAGGAGACTCATTTAAAATGGAAATGAAGTCAAGTAATTGTAAAGGCCTTATCAGATCAGAGAGGGGCAAACCTAAGCTATTTCAAGAGGGAAGCTGATAACAAGTAAATCAATTCACACCACAGACCTGCAAAATGGCTCAGCTCTGGACTGATCTGCAAAATGGCTCAGCTCTGCATTGGGAAGTATTGGACATTAAGACGAGCAGAGGTGTGGCCAGAAAAGAAGGCGGCAAAAGTCAGGGGCATGTGGGCGTGTCTTTATAAAAACTAGTTAAGAGGTTTAGCTTCTCACTCCAAGGATGCTTGGTATTTCCCACACCCCAGTATGGCAATATTATTGTTGACATGTTGAAGAATTTCTGTACCGGTTGGTAAAGAGCCACTTCCTTGAGCTCCCCAGAGTCCCCTCCTCGCTTCCCTAGAACCTCTCCTCCACAACCAGCTCCTCCCACTCCCACCACTTTGCCTCCAGTCTAAATGAGCCATGCTTGGCTTAGCCAAGGGCTTTAGTGGAATTTGGATTCATACCTTTTCTGATGGTTTGGTGTCCATACCTTGCTGGCTTGAAATATTTTAATGTTTGTGGAAATGATGAAGGAAAGAAAAATGCGAGAGATAATATAATGAAAAAGTGATAGAAATTGGTGATGCAGTAAATAGCATGAAAAAAAGAAGTATCAAAAGATTATTCCAGAATTCTAAGTTTGAAAAATGTGAGAAATCATGTGGTACTACTTTCACTCTTCATGCAGATAGCCTCAAACACCTTTAGTTCTCAGAATAATACACTTCAGACATCTTTGACCTGTTATATTATTTCCTAAAATAAACTTAAATGTGTTTCTCATATCCTCTAATCATCCAGAAAACTCCTATTCATCCTACAAAACCCTACTTAGGCATATTCTCTTTATGTATTTTTCCTTAAAAATACGTATATACATATAAATGTAAACATATAGGTATATATCTTTTTCCTAAACTAGTGGTTGTCAAATTTTAATGTGCTTCAAAATCACCTGGAGGACAAGATTTCTAACTTATTCCCAGAATTTTCTTTTCTTTTCTTTTTCGTTTTGGAGATGGAGTCTTGCTCTGTCACCCAGGCTGGAGTGCAGTGGCACGATCTTGGCTCACTGCAAGCTCCGCCTCCCGGGTTCA